TCAGAATGAAAAAGAGTAGGTACCATAATGTAGGTACTAACTTTAAAAAAAAATCAACAGCAAAACTAAATCATTCATAACAAATAAATGTTGGATATATTGCTTAACTTACTAATTCAAACAAAAACAGTACATAAATATGTAAAAATAGAAGCAATCAGTTTATTTAAAATTAAGTATAACTCTTCATTATGACTAATATAACAAATAAAAACAGTAACTTTCAATGCCTCAATGGTTTGTATTGTATTATATATAAAATATTAAGTATTATATTTTAATGATAATTTAAGAATGGATAACAATGGAAATAAAAACAACACTTTGTAATGATTTATATAAATCAAATATAGTATTAAAATTGAATAAGTAAAATCACAAATAAAAAAAAAATACTAACCAATTTTATGTAAAATTGTTTTCAAAATTTGATGTATTAAAGTAGTCTAAAACACTATCATCAAAATTATTTGAATACATTACTTCACTATTAAATAACTTTAACATTTCAGGAGTTGGTGAAAACGTATTACAATTGCCATTTAAGCTATACCTTAGACGCACAATGGCTTCAGCTGTTAATGTGGCTAAACGATTCCTTAATTTATCTCTGATAATGTTCATTATAGAAAAAGCTCTCTCTACAGTAGCATTTGATATTGGTAAACACAATAAATTTAAAACTAAAAAAGATATGTTTCCAAATTTAGGTTGACCCCCAGCATCTTTTATTTTTGAGACATAAGTCCAAAATTCTACAGTGGAATTTAATTGTTTTACAACTTCACTAACTAAAGAGTTTAATAAATTCCATTATTTTAAAKTACAATCAACATTTTCAACAAGGGCATTAAATTCTACTAAAATKTTAGTTATATCTGACTTAATAATACTAGTTGACTGATCAGGCGAAAATACATTAATTCGTTCTAAAATATTTAAATTGTTAGRTATTCGTTTTTGTATTTCTTTACACAAAATTATCATAAATTTTGTACTTTAAGTAACCGTTCAGAACTTATAAGGCTTGAATGTTTGGTAAAATAATACCCATAATTTATACATGTTGAACCCATGGTGTACTGTTCAAAATCATAAGAAACAAGATTAGAACGTGACACTTTATTTAATTGATTTGGAACTACAATAATATTTAGCAAAGAATAGAGTAAGTCATTGAGTAATTTAAGTGGGTCCATATCGTTAGACTGAAAAAGTTTATTAAAATAAACAACTTTTGATAAAGTATTTTTTTTAAATGAAAGTATATAAATGCTTCATTTTTTTTATACATATCTCTTAAAGAATAAGAAACATAACATTTTTCTGAATCATTATTACTTATAGTATTGAAATGAACTTTCAGTAAGTCCCACTGATTTAATAAAGTATTGATAGCTCCACTCCTTGCTAACCACCTAGTCCCACTTAATTTGGATAAACTCTTGATATAAATTATTGTATGCTGCTTGACGTTTAGAATTATAAGTTTCTCGTATTAAAAAATCCAAAAAAGGAGGG